TCAGTGTTGCTGATTTTGTTTCAAAAGGAAGTAAAGCAACCGATTCCCAGATCCCATTTAGTTCGTTGTAATATTTACATATAAAAAATAAGTCTTCTTAATTGCATTGTATTATTTATTACATTTTTTTAAAATGTTTTTTTATTAACATGTAAGCACTTAAAAATTAAAAAAAATTATTTGAATTGAAGATTTAAGCTCCTAAATTTTTATTTTATAAATATTAGGTTATCAAAATAGTCTTGCGGTATTTTCGCTAGTTGGCGCTGAGAGCGCGTAGTTCTAGTTTTGTTCGTCGCATCGGGTCATGCTATACCTTTTTGGAAAGCTCATTTCACGCGCTAACACGTGTTTGATTGATTGTCGTTTCTTTAAAGTCGTTCGTGAGTTATAGCGTCGCAAACATGGAGCAAAATAAAGAGAAAATACGCCATATTTTACAGTACTACTACGATAAAGGCAAAAATGCATCTCAAGCCGCCAATAAAATTTGTGCAGTTTATGGACCCGATATAGTTTCCATTTCCACCGCACAACGATGGTTCTAACGTTTTCGTTCTGATGTAGAGGTGGTCGAAGATGCGCCACGCTCCGGAACGCCTGTCGTCGAAAATTGCGATAAAATCGCTGAATTGGTCGAAAGAGATCGGCATAGTAGCAGCCGTAGCATCGGTCAAGAGCTGGGCATGAGTCATAAAAAAAAATTTTATGAACAATTGAATAAAATACCGCAAGACTTTTTTGACAACCAATAAATAAGGTTCGAACTTATTTTATCGACAAAATTTATAGCCCACACTGCCTCGTTACTACTTTGGATTTTGTAACAATTCTCTTCTCATTGAAAAATTATGCTAAGTGAAATTATTTAAGTTACACGTATTATATATTTAAATTAAGAAATTAAACTCTAAATAATGACTAATAACTTATGTTTATGTTTATTATAAATAGAAGAGTAACTCAAAACAAGCTCTTCATTGACTATCTTTTTTTTATACTCTCACAACAAAGTTGCTAAGGAGAGTATTATAGTTTTGTTCACATAACGCTTGTTTGTAAGTCCTAAAACTAAAAGAGTCAGATATAGGGTTATATATACCAAAGTGATCAGGGTGACGAGTATAGTTGAATTCCGGATGTCTGTTCGTCCGTGCGAGCTGTAACTTGAGTAAAAATTGAGATATCTTGATGAAAGTTGTCATGCGAGAGTATAAAATGTTCGGTGACACCCGAACTTAGCCCTTCCTTACTTGTTTTAGTTTTATATTGGTTGTGTTAAAACAAAAATTCCATTTTTAGTTACTTTTGTTCTTTTTCTGGAAATTATTTAATTTTTTACTAATCATTATACACTTAACAGACTTTATAGGTATTCCATCATAAATCTGCCAGAGCTCTTTGTGATTATCTTAACTTAGTACAAACATATGAACGCACATGAGCACTGTTATGATCACAAGTTCAGAAACGAGCATTCGTAACTGCAGATAAGTTTGTCATGACATGGTGTGTGTAGATATTATAAATATTGATGTACTCAACTGGCATTTGGACCAAATTTCAAACTTTATGGAAATTATTGGTCTGTTGTAATCTTTTCGTTCTCATTAAAATACAGTAGTTATAAAGTAGTTGCCGTCAATTGCGTTCTGAAAACTCACGAAAGTGATTCAAAATAACTTATTAAAATTAATTAACGGATTTCTAAGAATATTCGAATAATAATTAGTTTCATATTTGTTAAAGTATAAAAAACAAAGGGATTCATAAAAAATCGTCTGAGAAACAACAAGTATTGAATAATGCTGGGTTCACATCACATATACAATTATATTTTCGTGTATATTACTTAATTTAAATAAAGTGAGTTCCCTTGGGTATACACAATTAATGTTCCGGATTGCTCTCTAGTATTGTTTTCAACATAAAGAACGCTAAGCGGAAGAAATTGTTGCGAAAATTCGTTTGATAGTGAAAAAAATGATTAATATGTTCAGTTGCATAATATTTACCTAGTTCCCCTGACTACCTAGGGTTGAAGTGCGCCTTGTGTTTCAATTGCATAATACTTATAACAAGTCAAAAGAAATTAAGTCCATATCAGTGTAGTCTCTAACTTAAATTGATAATAATAAAACAATTGGCGATATTTGATTTCCATATACACATATACTTATATTAATTATGGTTTTTCCAAGAATTGCACCTATTTATGCCCTGAACAGCGTATATTAAGTGTGCCATTAAGTTTGTAACACCCAGAAGGAAGCGTGATTTAGCTTCGTCTACCTATCTGTATATATGTACCCAAACTAGTCTGTCAGCTTTTAAGATATCGTTATATATACATCCTAATCTCCATGAGCTCCTCATTTTTCGGAACTGCCAACATCGGACCGCGATAACAACAGCTGTCGTACAAACCGACCAATGGAAATCAAGTTCTTGTATGGAAAACTTTATCATTTGACAGAAAATAAATTTGGCATGGATTATTGTCCAAAGCAACGCTATAATCTCTGAACATGTTCTTCTGACTATTCAAAGTCAATATAAAAAACATAATCAAGGTTCTTTTTTCCTTTTTATTTAACCTTAATTCGACTTGAAGTTTTTTTATATCAAACAATGTGTCTAGAAAGAACTAGCAAAATTTTTTCAATTGGATGGCCGGCTACGTTTTCATATATACAAATAGTTATACATATAGATAGTATAAGAATTGCTCCTATGAAGGGTATTCAAATAGCTTCAAATATTTGCAAATACTTCCAATATACGGCAGCAATTAAATTGTTTTCTTTTTCTATATAAACCATGCGAACATTTATCGGCGCCCCCTCAAAATGTGGCTGTGGATCTACACATTCATGCATAAAGGAAGCAATCATTTGTATGCTTTACCGCTTCTCAATTAAACTTGAAATGAAAGGCGAAGTTATACTAATTACATCAATTAAATAGACGATCACACAACACTAAAAAAATTTACTTCAAGCTGCATATGTATAATCATGAAAAAGATTTATTAACGAAGAAATTTGATATTTATACAAAAAGCCCTACAAGGAAAATATATAGATCGATGGGAGTAGATTTTATATATGTATGAGTGTATGTAGGGTTTAAATGCATATGTATTTAAACGGTAATAGCGCAATTTTCCCATTATTATAGTTAATTGTTATTACTAGTACTCCACTGATTTTCAGTGATTTGAGATTATTCTTAATTAAATCTAAAACTTTGAAAATCTTCATTTCTGGATATATTTGTAGTACTACAAGCTCTAGTACTACTAGCCATCAAGCAGTTAGTTAGTTTATTGAATCACATCAGGGTTTGTGAGGAAAGTAATAGGATTGATTTTCTTCCGCCGCGACTGTACTTCAGAGCGTGCTCGCACCCACTGGATTCGGTAGAGGGCGTTCCTAGCTAACGAACGAGCGACTGGTCAATTGTCTCCGAGTACTTGGAGAGTTGGGACAAACATTAACGCGCGACGTGTTTCTGTAAGTGGTGCAAGACGAAAATGCAGAGTTAGAGCAGAGGTAAAAGCGAAAGAATTAGCAAATCCAAAGTGAATTGTCTTTTCTGACAACAAAGCCATCGTGCACAATGAATATGTTAATCCTAGACAAACCGTCAATAGCAAGTTTTACGTGGAACTACTCAAGAGACTCAAACGAAGGGTTAATCGGGTCCGACAAGACATCGCAGCCGATTGGAATTACGACAGAGCCCCGGCTCGCACCGCCTTTCTTGTGAACAGCTACCTTATCAAGACCAGCATTCCAGTGCTTCCGCAGCCACCCTACAGCCCAGACTTTTTTGTTTCCTGGCTGAAAAGACCGATGAAAGGCAAGCATTTTGAGACGATTGAGGGGATCCAAGCAACATGCATCTCGACTCTCAAGGCTATTCCGGAGAATGCCTTCCGTGACGCCTTCAATGCTTCGAAATCGCTCTGGCAGCGCTGCACGCAGAAGGAGCCTATTTTGAAAGTTTTTAAAGAGTTGTAACGATTACTTTCCGGACAAACCCTGTACATATGCACTTAAATGCCCTTGAAGATTTCATATATTAGAGGAGATTGTTTTGTTGTCAAAGTGGCATAATTCTTTTTTCGAAAGCTTTAAAATACTTGGTGGTGACAATATTATTGCCTAAATATAAATTCAAATCAAGTCAAGTTGCGTATAACCACGTTGTTGTTGCATCAGTACAAAAAGGCTTTCCAAGTAGTCTGGAAGTACTGTGGTGAAAGTACTTGATCGGACGGCAAAATAAACTATCGCTGTTACTTTTCGTTGGCTAAAAGTTGCAAGAAGAATTAGTAGAATTACTAGATGCTGCTTTTTCTCTCAGTATTCTCTCAGTATATTGCGATTTTTACAGTTTGACAAAAATCTATATTTTTTGGGGTTTCGCAATTACCTCTTCCTTACTTTCTCTAAGACTGAATCAGTCCAGAGGCTGAATCAGTCCAGTTCTCGCCCAATTTTTTTTGCTTAACACCCGTCTGCAATGAAAATACTTCTCATAAATTCCATTTGTAACTTACAGTCGATTTAAAATTTATATTTCCGTCCATTAATCGTTCGGTTAAACATCTTTGAGTTGTTTTTTTTTTTTTTGCGTAGTTGGACAGCCAAACTGACTTTAATGGTCTCAAAATGTTTGCAAAAATATAAATAAAATGAAATGTCGGTCTGCACAGTAAATGTACATATAATTTATCAGCTGTAAGTGGGTTGATTACTTCGTTGCTCGTTGGGATGTTTTCGTGCCTGAACTTTGCTTTTACGTTTCATTTGAAAATTGTATAGTGTCTTAAGCTTTTTTTATTTCATTAACCACTTAAAGAGTAATTCGGCTTAACTGTTTTTATAGAGTACAACCCCTTTTACATATCTTTATAAATTGAATGTCTATATACATACATAGACATATACTAACAATGATTAACTATTATTTTTTTGTTTCCGTTTCAATAGTATGGCTTCAAATGGATCATTTTCAAAAAATACCGATCAAATTGTTGAACCTGCAGGCAGTTCATCAACGACATCGCCACGTACTAGCACATCTCGACCGCCACATCAGCATCTACCGAGTGTCTTACCGGATGAGGGTACATATCTGAAACCGAATGCGAAACAAGCATACTTCAGCGATGAAAAGGTGCTCATACCACAAAACGATGAGGTGAGTGTCTTAAAATTATTATTATTAAATAGTTATTACTTATGACGAATAATTCGAGTTAATACGAATCACTAAATGAGCCTGTGATCGGCACTAGTTACCCGCTTATCAATCGAATCATCTGTTATCAGCGTTGATTCGTTAACATACATATAAGAGGATGCACTGGAAATTTTATAATATCACAAATAAATTATCTCATATTTTTTCTAAATTTTGTCAAAAGGGTATAGATGACAGCCTTTATTAATAGTATATGCACATTGATCCATTACTCGAGTTTATTGAAAAATTTGGAGTTAAACATTAATAAATCACGTTAAGGCGTAAGGCTAGTCGAGAGCCCTTTGAAAAGCCCAACTTTGACAATTTATTCCGCTAGTAAGGAAAACGCATCAAATCTCTCTATTCCAGGCTTTATTATGTATTTGAATGTATAAAAATTATGGACCAATTTAAATATGTTTCTACGTCCTTAAAGTGAATTTTAAATAAAAAAATCGATTTTGGTGCAATAAATACTAATTTTTTGCGAAATTCTGCAACAATGTTTCGAGTTTTGACAAAAATGCCGAATTAAATTCAGTTTCTTATACGTTACACAAAACTTTAAACTGGTGGCGTAACAAGATCATAAAATAAGATATTTATCTTACATTTAATTAAATGAATATAATCATTTCCGTCATTAGTAAAAATGAGAAGAATATTATTAAACGGCTGTCTGTCTGTATATGCAAAAAAAGTCCCTCAGTTCTTGAGAAATCGGTTTGAAATTTTGCGCACGTTTTTCCTCCAAACGAAGCTGCTCGTTTGTCAGAACTGCGAATATTGGATCACTATAGCAAATAGCTGCCATACAAAATGAACGCTTAAAATAAAGTTTTTGTATGGAAAATAAAACAGTCAAGTTATCTTCCTCGAAATTTGACATGGATTATTGCCAAAAGCAATACTAAAACATCTGAGTACATTTCAGTCATACGAACTAATAGATCAAGCTCAAGCCCTTGTACAAAAACCGTTTTAATTTGACAAGCTATCTTCACACAATTTGGCATATATAATATTACCGAAAGCAACGGTACAATTTACGAACGCATTATGCTGGCATTAAAACTGATCGATCAAAATTAAGCTAAACATATTTTTTTATATCCCTCTATATATAATATACACCTGCGTAGGGTATTCATGTTTCGATGCAGAAAAAGTTAACGTTTTTCTCGTTTTCACAATTACAATTACTTATTGCCGTTACTCGCTTTAATTTTCATTTCACACTTTTTTTTTGAGCGAGTAATGACATAAAAAAAATTTCAGTGCACTTCTTGTGGTTTTTAGAATTAATATGCTTCAATAAAACCGCAGCTTTATTGTACAAATCAATAATTTTATATAATAAGCCTGACTGAGAAGTTCAAAAACTTGAACTTGATGTAAAAAACCGCGGCGTATAGGAATTTGATATTTGCCTGCACTTAATATAGCAAATACTGCACGTGCATTTTTATACGAAAACAGTAAACAAACAAACATACACACGCACCCAAGCATTACTTTCAATTACTTGACACAGTTTTCACAACGCAGTGGGATGCATTAACGGTTTTGCGAATATTGGCGACATGCAACATGCGTTTGTAGTACATGTAAACATACAGCGCGACTTACAATAATCATTTCAGGTGGAATATGACTCATGTGCGTGTGATTGTTCATAAAGGCATTCAATTGATCTTACTGAAGAGCAAACATGCCGCCGTCACAGCTAGGAACACACACATATACTCCCACATAATTATTTAGATAATCATATATATACATACATACATACATACATATAATATAAATTTTTATTATGCAATACATGTATATATTACAAAAGCATTGAAACTCATTCTGATTGTATCTAATCTCATTGCATTCTATGTGCGCACATATAGACCTGTCTCTTATACACATCTAGATGTGTATAAGAGACAGCATACATACATACATATAATATAAATTTTTATTATGCAATACATGTATATATTACAAAAGCATTGAAACTCATTCTGATTGTATCTAATCTCATTGCATTCTATGTGCGCACATATAGACTGGCTTTAGCTTTCGCAAATTATGGGCATTCACCGGTCCTGGGTTTCTCATGTCCATAGCATACTTGGATCCGGGCAACATAGAATCAGATTTACAAAGCGGAGCGGCAGCAAAATATAAAATCTTATGGGTACTTTTATGGGCCACGGTTTTGGGTTTACTGATGCAACGTCTGGCGGCGAGGTATGTACAAACATACATACATTTGTAACAAGTATGTTGAAAGATTTTTAACTTTACGACCGCATTTAATTTCCTAACAAAAGTTCAATGAGCGCTACCTTGCATTGCCACATTATGTACTACCTACAAACATACACTTGTATATTACATATATTAATTTATTTCCACTTAATATGCCGTCAGGTTGGGTGTTGTGACGGGTCTACATTTGGCCGAGATGTGCTATCGCCAATACAGAAAGCTGCCGCGCATCATTCTTTGGATAATGATTGAGATTGCAATTATCGGCTCGGACATGCAGGAAGTGATTGGCACAGCGATTGCGATATATTTATTGTCAAATAAAATGTAAATACACATATAAACACTAAATTAATTGCTTGTTGTTAGCTTTTTATTATTAAATGTTGTAAATGATTTAAATAGCTTTATATTGTTAAATATTTACAAACTTTCTCGTGCAAAAGCATAAACAATTATACTAATACTTAATTTTTCATGATACTTGATTTTTTCCTTTAGCGTGCCGTTGTGGGGTGGAGTGCTGATAACAATTATCGATACGTTCACATTTTTATTTCTAGATAAATATGGTTTGAGGAAATTGGAGTTCTTCTTTGGATTCTTAATCACTGTAATGGCGGTTACTTTCGGCTATGAGGTAAGTTGTTGATAATTTTAAGTAAATTATATAGTTAATCATAAAATAAGCAATAAAGAACCATAAGTTCGTCTGCACCGAAGGTGTAATACGATTTCTAAATCTAAATCTGAAAAAGTAACCGGTTAACGATTTGTATCGATTACGATTTTCTAGTTCTTTATCAAACAATGTGTCTATATTTTATATAAACCTTCAAATTGATTTAATGTTAATTAATAAAGAGATACGATCTTTTATGAAGATCTTTATCTTGATTCAGTTTGTATGACAGCTATGTGTATGCTATGGTAGTTTTATCTAAACAATACAGGATTTGTCCCGAAAGTAATAGGGCTAAGTCGATTTAAAATAATTTATGGAACCAATTGTTACAATTCTTTACAAACTTTCAAAATATGCTCCTTCTGCGTCGATGCAGCGCTGCCTGCGCCATTTCCAAGCATTGATGGCGCCACGGAAGGCATTCTCCGGGGAGACGTGGTGCATGCTCCTTGGATCCCCTCTGTCGTCTCAAAATGCCGCTTTGTCTCGGGATCATACTCAAAGATCTATGACTCGTCACCTGTGATTACGTTATTCAAAAATTGGGGGTCACTTTCACACATGTTCAAATTTTCTTGGCATACTTCCACTCGCCGCAATTTCTAAGCACTTTTGGGACCATCTTCGCGCAAACTTTTCGCATGTTCACGTGCTCCGTCACAATGTCATGAACCATAGATTTTGGTAAATTTAATATCTGAGCAATTAAGCGAATACTTAGTCGACGGTATGAGTTCAAAACTTTCGCGAGCTAGGTTACTTTAGATGAGTCTGGTAGGCTAATAAGCCAGTTTTGGTCGCTTGCGTTGCCAGATGGAGTGCCGTTACGTTGTTCAGTAGAAGTAGTAATTTTGTCTTCCTTTGACGAATTTTAATAGACTCTCTGGCGAAACCACTAACGATACTTCTTCCTGTGGCTTATACCGCGGGTCACCAAACGCTGAATAGTTCCGTTGACAATTCGAGACAATCAATTTTTTCCCTAGACGATTGTTTTCTAATATACACCCAACTCTTTTTTAACACGGTAGATACGTTCCTCGGAAACACGTGTAAAAAAGCCGTGTAAAAAAAGGAGCGTTTCCTATAATAAAATGGGGGATACGTTCCATGTCATCTGAAAACCGTGTAAGATGAAATAAAGAACAATATTTACTTCGAAAAATCGTGTCAAAAAAATTGAAAACTAAAATTTTTTAGATATATGTACATATGAATTGTATGTTCATATGGCATTTTATTGAGCATTAAAACTTAAAATACATAATTCATATAGGTGGAAAATTGGTAGATTAAGCAAAAAACAAAAGAAATCTGTTAATCCAGAACTAAGAACAGAAAAATTAGAATATAAATAAGGAAAAAATATTTACATTGCTACATAATTATTCTCCCTACTTGATAACAAACGCAATAGTTTGCGACGAACTGGACTAAAGTCGGTATCATCTCTGGAGATATCCATTTCAGCAATGTAAATATCATGTGAACAAAATGTGTAGGTAAGAGTTATCCAATTACGGGATTTCCCAGTTACTACTATGTATGCTCATTTCAGCAATGGTGCTAAGTGTGGTAAAAAGAAATATAATTACAAGACAATGATTTAAAAACCGTAGTAAATTAAAAGTCTTTTACAAAAAAAATTTTTTCTTAACTGTGTAACTGTTTAAAATCCATGTAAAAAGAAACCGTGTAAAAAAGAGTTGGGTGTAGTATGTAAAAACTTTTCTGGTTTATGTATTTAAAACATTTTATTTTAAATTAGTAAAAAAAATTACGAAATTCAAGTGTTTATGCATATGTACCCATGTAAAGCGTTAGATAATATGAATTTTTGTTACAATCAAGTACTATATATGCAAATTTTGTATACAATGGCACACACAAATGCACTGCAAATACATACATTTTGCTTAGCTCAAATGATTTCAATATAAAAATTGCTTTTCTAAACTGTAGCTTCCGCTTTAAAATGTTTTACGTTCGTTTGTTTATTTTTTTTTACTTATCGTTACTGTTTGTATATACATATGTATGTACATATATACATATGTGCGAACAACAGTTTTATTTTTATTTGCATTAATTTGCAGTTTTTCCGGATCGTATAATATATTTAACTAAAAAATATTTCATATTTTACATATTTTAAAGATAATGAAATTATAATAAAAATATAAAAGATTCTACATAAAAAAGTTTAGGCACACATATGAAAAATATTGTTTTGAATCCGAATTTTTTAATTCTAATATTTTGCTAAACCTCCTTTGGCCTGAATAACCTCTTCTAAACGTCGACGCATGCTTCCAACTGGGTTAGACGTTTGCCCATTCTGTATGTATGGCCTCTTTAAGTGAATCATTTGATGTTAAATGCTGAGTCCGTATTTATTTTTCCAGTAGATGCCAAATATGCTCTATAGGGTTACCGTTGGGGATTGCGGAGGTATTTTTAATTGGTTACAATGGTAGATAGGCCATTCTTGCACAAAATATGACGCATGCTTCGGGTCATTATCTTGATGAAACAAGAATGACCGCCCACTTAAGCCTAACTTTTTAATGCTTGGCGCTAAATTTTCCTTTAAAATTTTAAAATATGAGTGCTTATTCATTTTATTATCAATAAAAACGAGATTTCCTACATCAGATGCTGTAATGTAACCCCAAACTATTACATTACCGGTTCATGATAATCACCTTTGTGTAATGTGTTAGGTACAGTTTGGAGCTCAAAATTTGTTTTCAAAGCTTTTTTGCATCTCTTGACACAGCTCTACTGCTGAAATCTTCTGATTATGAGTCACTGCAGCTATTACAGCTCGTTCCTGACGTGGTGTGAATTTTTTACGCGCCCAGATCTGTTCACACGCTCTAAATTTCCGGTGTTGATGTAATGTTTTATAATATTTAGCGCACTTGATTAAGGTCTCTGTACTATATCACCGATTTCACGATAAGATTGCTGCACGGGCAAATCTATTATATATACAACCGGCCATTTTGCTCTCTCTATAACTAGTTTAAGTTTAAGCTGGAGAGAGAAAACAATTTGAAAATAAAACGTATATTTCCTAAGAACTTAACCTACTCACAATTTCACAAATGACGGAATATTTCTTTGCTTAGTATGATATACATATGTACATGTATGTATTTAAGCTAATAATGCGTCGAAAATTGAACAACTTCAAAATAATTGTGAGTAAGAGGCCGCAGAACCTTCTTCATGAGCGTTTAGAGATCTTTACATTTACATGCATTGCGCGTTTCTTATCAATTAACGGAATATTTCTTTGCTTAATGTGATATGTCTATGTATGTACATGGGTGAATGTAAGCTAAAAATTTTGAAAACACTTTTCAGCAAAGACAACGCCTGTGCCAAAACTTTTTCTGATTCACTGTACATATGTACATCTTATATAATAATATCGGTTGTAATGTTTTTTAAAGTTAATCAAAGCAGTATTAATTACTTATGGAATGACTATTTGAAATTTAATGAAAAATGCTTTATAATTATTATTTTTGTAATTTTATTAATATTGCAATGTATTATTTTTTTTAGTATTATAATCGAAATATTTCCCATGAATGTAATGAAATATATACGAAAAATTATATTCAAACATATTATAAAACATAATTTAATATATTTATCTTTTTTGAACTTAATCAATTAATTGATATTAAACAACACCAAAGTAAATTTCCAATTATTTTAATTTCGTACTTTATTCTAACTAATTTCAAAATAATAAGGGGTGAACATGTCATGAAACCCGAGATTTAAGTGTTTTTAGTTGATAATAGTTTGTGAAATACGCAGAAGGTTAAAGCTCCGAAAAAGTAGAAGAACTAAATTTTCCATTTCAAAGTTGTAGGAAAGGTTTCATCGTCTTTGAGCAAATCCTTTGAGCTTGTTTATAAATTTAGACGGAATTTCATTTTAGCACATCCATTACAAATTACTTTAGATCTTAAAGTCATGAAACCTCTTTGGCTAAGTTTCGTCGCCTTTTTTGAAGTAGAGTAGCGCAATTTTGTCTCTTCTACAGTACAAAATCTGTAACTCTCGTGAATCGAATCTCTAAATGTTTGAGTTATGTATGATTTTCGGTGGTGTGTATTGAAAATAAATTATATAAAATTTCGCGTTGTCGAACACTCTTAAAAATTTACTTTGAATTGTAGACTCTTACATCTATAATTTGTCACACATACAATATGTACGTAATATATGTATACAATAGAATCATTTTTAAGATTTCCACATGTTCGGGACTTTTTCTATTCAGTTTCTTATCAGTTACCGCCCCGTTTTGTATGCAAACACGTATAAAGATATATACTACTATATTGTACCTATGTCTGTATGGACATGTGTCATTGTAAAAACATACATTTCCTGATTGTATGTGTGCATGTCGCCGCTTAAATTTACAATATCAACTATTTGCGGCAAGTCTATCAGCTTAAATGCCTTTAACTTGGAAATTCGCTATTTTTTATTTCATTTCATTTTTGCCTGTCTGTCAAGTCCGCCTTACAAATGGCACCCACAGTATGCAAGTATGTTCACATACACATGTATGCAGTTGGTAATTTACAATGCCACAGATAAAAATGCAAACATTTGTGAAATGAAGTTTTCCAAAGAAATGATAAAAATGTCCCTTACATCACTTAATTATCAGAAGAAAGATAATGACCGGCAGAAATAAATCAATCAGTTGAATTACTCCAACGTCGTACTGATGCACACGATCATTTGTACACATTTCAGTTCACTGAAATATTTAACTAAATAATTATTTTTATTTGGCAGTAAATTTTAAAATCTCTTATATGATTAAGAAATGCACATGATAATAAAATAAATAAATTTATGTAAAATAAATCAAAGTCTTTTAGTTCGCTTGTGTGTACAAAAGGAGATAAATTTGATCTTACAGGGGAATATCTTTGAGACGTAACTCGTAACGTACTTAAAAAATTAAAAAAAAAATTGCTTTATTTTATGAATCTCTTACCTTTTTTTATTGGCCAACTATATACTAGACTACAAACGAATAAAAATGCCTTTTATATAATAACAAAAAAAAATAAAAAAAATAAAAAATTGTCTAACAAAGTAAGGCCAGATCTGTTTGCTTCATACCCGCTATTTACGTTCATAAATTGGAAATATTATATATTAATTGATTTAAAGTTCCACTTAGGTCATCAATAAGCTAATTTGTGTTTATCGGCTGACATCTTGACATTACCTGAGGTAATGTTTTAATATATCGTAACTCCTGGTACATGTCATAGATTCTGTATATACTTTACCTAAAATCGAGATAGCTCTGTTGTCATACTGAATTTATTTTTGCATAAGAGTAGAATTTTTTGGGTGTACCCAGATTCCATACTGACCAAAAGATTGCCGATAATCACACTAATTGCTTCTGTTATACCCTCAATTTCCTATGAAACACAGAGTTGTACTAAACTAGTTTGCAATAAAGTTTTATGCAGCGATTGTCGCAGAAGAAGATAATGTGTCTACTTCATGATTCGACACATTGGAGAATACGTGGATAGAATTCTGATAATTTCTGATGAGAAGAAAGAAGTGTAATTTTCTGGGACATATTGTCAATCTATCTCACATGCTGTGTTAATAGCTTTACATCAGATTTACAGCGAGTTCTTATATATTAGCAGGATATAATATTAAGTTTCTTGTCTGAGAAAGATTATATTTAGTTTTTACTTTAAAAAATATATTATATAAGTATGTATTCATAATAAAAAAATATTTCTTTACTAATATCACATTGAATTTTTTTCCAGTATGTTGTCTCAGCGCCTGATCAGGGTGAAGTGATGGAAGGAATGCTCCTGCCGTGGTGTAAGGATTGTAATGCAAATGTTTTACTGCAGGCTGTAGGCATTGTTGGTGCTGTGATAATGCCCCACAATTTGTATCTTCATTCCGCTTTAGTCAAAGTAAGGGTTTCAAAAAAAAAGAAATAAAATTATATAATAATAATTGTATTAAAATAACGTTATTTCAAAAAAACTAATATATTTATTTCTAATAAATAAATTATACTTAAAACAGTCACGTGATGTCGACCGTCGTCAACCGAAAAGAGTTAGTGAGGCGAATTTCTATTTCTTCATTGAAGCGTCGGTGGCGCTATTTGTGTCATTCATTATAAATCTATTCGTCGTAGCTGTCTTCGCACACGGCATGTTCGGTAAAACAAATCAAGATGTGGTAAGTAAATATATCCAAAGAAAAGGCGTCAAATCTAGTTAACTTAAGTGAATTTCTGCATTAACAATTTTTTCTGCTTTAGTTGGATGTCTGCGTCAATCAAACAATGTACGAAGACGCAAAAGCGTCATTTACGGATTCGCACAACAACACCGATCTCATCGATGCCGATCTTTATAAGGGCGGTCTATATTTGGGTTGCACATTCGGTGCAGCGGCTATGTACATTTGGGGTGTTGGTATTTTGGCCGCTGGTCAGAGCTCCACCATGACTGGCACATATGCAGGACAATTTTCAATGGAAGGCTTTCTGAATTTGCAATGGCCACGCTGGCGTCGTGTGCTCTTTACGCGTTTAATCGCTATCATACCCACATTCTGCTTGGCCTTCTTCACACGCATGGAAGATTTAACTCACTTGAATGATATTTTGAACGCAGTGATGTCGTTGCAATTGCCTTTTGCCGCCATACCAACGATAGCATTCACATCGTGTGTGGCTATAATGGGTGAATTCGTAAATGGCCTGTGAGTATATGAAACGCTTTTTCTGAAATTTTTAAAATATTGCTTTAGTTTAGCTATCTGTCTCTGCCTCAAATACATTTTTGTAATATTTTTCGCTTAAAATTTTAATAAAAATCTCAACCTATTGTCGAAAAATTGAATGCTTGAAGTAGTTTGAAAATATTTTTAAAATCCTATTTAATATTAATATATTTTACTTTTATATGAAAAGGGCGAACAAGGTCATATCCATAATGTTAACCATAGTGGTAATAACGGTAAACATCTACTTCGTTGTAGTGCAAGTGCAGACGGCGTCTCTGAAAAACGGTTTATTAGCATTAGTTTGTAAGTATTTTTGGCATTTTTCTGAGTGTTATGATTTTAGCATAAACTCTAACGGTAATTTTTACAGGTATAGGAGCCATTTTATATTTGCTTTTTAACTTGTACCTTGTGATACATATGATTGCGTGCATGGGCAATCAAAGATTTGTCAATAATAGGGTAAGTTCCATAAATTAAACCTTTTACAAAAACTTATATATACATACATAAATGTATATTTTTTGTATATTTAATAAAATTAGTCTTCTTTCGAAATTGTTATTGAACATACATATAACCTTGACAGGTTTCATACTAGTTTACATTAGAGTATTCAGTGTTTATGGAATTTTTACTTGACAACAATTTATAACCACACTTATAGATTAAACATAGTTGCACTGGTGTATAGGCGCCAAATTAATTCTAAAATGAAGCACTAATCTCCCACTGACAATTATAAGGTACTCAAAATTGACTTATAATATTTTCACCGCAACGACTAAAGTTTTCATTGCACTAAGTCCCACAAAGGACAAATGCATATGTGACCTGGTCTACGGATGGAAGTTGAGATTTTTAACAGCTGTTTCCCAGAAAACTAGTTTTCGCACGTTAGCTCCCTTTTCGTAGACCAGGTCACATATACTGAAGTTTAACTTTAAGCTAAGACTTAACTTCTTATTTTGCTAAGCTCATATTACAAATATGGTATACAGTTGTCAATCGCACTTTTAAATTGCCGCCTGACAACTGTGAATATTCTTTTATTTTATCAGTTTTATTTTTTTTTTAAATTTTACATTCAAAAAGATTTGTTAAGATTGATTGTGATTTTGGTGTGTCATAAAACAAAGGCTGTTCGGTGCAACCCTCAAGTGGTGATTAAAAGCTTTTTTAAATGTATTTTTCTAATGAACTTACTATGTATAATAAATTAAAATAATTCTATAAGCTATATCGTTATCATCTGTTCTAAAACATTTATTATGAAGGCGGCTAAGTACACTGATATATGTACATATATGAAAATATTGCATTATCTTTCCAAGCAATATTAGAATATCGTTCTTACAGAGTCATGTTTAGTCCGAATGACAACCACATTTGTATTCAGACCAGAGTTTTCAGTAACTTGTCACAAAGTTTGTTGCCTCATATTGCTACAGCAGCAACAATCTATGGTTGAATGAAGATGTTGAACTAAAAGTATCATCAAGGATTACAAAGGTTTACAAATTTGATAAATACTAAAATATTCTAGTATAATTTGCATAGATAGATCTAAAAAGATAAAAGCTTGAAAAAATATTCGCTGTATGTCTGAACAAATTAAATATGACCGCTGGCTTCGCTCCTTTTAAGTGATATAATATCAAAGACTAGTTCTTAATATTAAATGTTGATAATTTTCCTGACCTTTATGACACTCCTTTTTCGCTAACGATTTCCGTGATTTCATCGACAAATAAAAATATAACATTTTTGTGCTGGGCATTAAAAATAAATTAAATGAAATCACCTGAAATGTTTCAATGCATGCAAACATCGAAATATTTCGACTTCTCAATCCAACTGGTCAAGGTTGTATGTAAAAAGCAGTATATACATTTTATTTGCTAATTAATGACACATTGCTACAAATCAATAATAATATTTCAACTTCTTATTCTCTAGTGGGTCCAGAAGTTCGTACTACCCAGTCAGAATAGTTTTACGATAAAGAACGCCAATTCAACGTACGCAAGGTAAGTCTGGACTATACTCATTGGGTTTAAAACGACAAACAAATAACCTAAACATATATTTTACGATATACTGGAATATGAAATTATTAAGAGCACTTTGATTATATTTTCCATAATGCAACTAACTAAATGGCACTCTATTAACAAGCACAAAATGCACTGCTTCAGCTTTTACTAAACCTATAAAATATTAACACGCTTCTTTCTAAACTTCTGTCGCTTTCAATATAGCATAGCTAAACTAATTTCAATAACAATTTTATAAATTATCTAGTACCTATATAAATAACTATTTTCCTATTTGTTTCTAACAAAGCAACACCAAATTATTCTCTCAATTCTAACAGTGCCGTGTCTATAGCAATTGCCGCAAGCAATGCAGCTAATGAGCCACTGCCTAAGACAATATCGGAAAAGGTGTCACAGTAATAACAGTTAGAAGCTTGTATATAACATATGTAGCTTGCAAACACAAATACACACAGTTTGGTGCATTTATAATAAAAAATATATTGTGATATACATAATATTTATCGCTTGCATGCATAGGTAAAAGTTGTTAAAAAACGTAACCAGTATTTCTATTTAAAATGTAAATATTATTATCTATATTGAGTATTTCCTTGAGCGCACATTGCTATTAAATAATATATATTCACACGTTTTTTATGTTACAAATACAGTTAATTACCTATTAACTATTAAAGTTGTTTACATTTATTTTTTTAATTTCCTATAATGCTTTAGTTATCTACCTTTAGTCGTGCGTCAATTCTTACTGTGCCGTCTAGTGTGCTTTTTTGTTGTTAAGTTACCGTTTTGTTTAAATATGTGTAAGCCTCTCGGCTCAGTAATGAAATCCGCAGTAATTACCCGCTGAGTTAATAAAAATCGTTGAATTATTGTCCACTTGTGGAATTGTGGGGTGAATGATAAATTTAATTGTATTGCTTATTTGATTTTTAAATGGTGTGAAATATGCCTGTATATTAAGGTGTCCCTTATTTTCCAAGTCGACGTTATTTTTGCAAACGCCCACTTAAGTACAGATTTTGCCCTAAAAATATATATCCAAAGTAAGCAAAATGTTTATTTTCCATTTAAACCTCGTCCAAATTAATTTACTTCTTCCATATTTTTAGCATTGGAGTTTTTGAACTTTTGCAATCAATTTCGAAATCTAATGCATGCTTTAAAAAATTATGTTCCAATACAAAAGAATTAATGATTTTTGTATAAACTGTGGTTCAAAAATTTACTTCTTTGATGCTAAATGTCAAAAAATTCCACAAGCTCACTAGCAAGCGACCTGTATTTATCAAATACTAGTAATTCCTTTTTGAAATAATGAAGTTCTATGAGATGTCAGTTGTCAGATTTTATTCAGGAGTATACCACTTTATTACTAGTGCAAAGCAGAAATGACTCTTTAGTTCATTTTTTATTTTTAAAAGATTTGAATGTGAATTAACGCAATGATCACTGACTTTACTATATACACTTCCTGGGCCATTTTTCCTGACATGCTTGATGTTTCACTGTAGGGTACATTGTAGGGTTACGACATAATTTGTATAAAAGCGTATCTAAAATTTCTATACGACCGTTGCATTTGTCATAATTGTATGTTAAATACATATGCATGTAATAATTCTTTTTATTGTCAAAAATTAAATAATTAATTGATCCTTTGCTGTCTGATATATTATATATTATTATAATTGAAATTTAAAGAAAACCATATTTACATTTAATGTTCAGTATTCGAACAAATTTATTGGATCCGATAAGTTGAATAACTTCAAACTAACTACATGTGTCTTCAATAATCCTAAATTTAAAACAAAAAAGAAAAAACTTTTAATTTTTAACTTAATTTCTCAGAATATTCTGCTTAGGTAGTAAAAATCTTTAGTTCAGAAGTCAGGATGAAATTATTTTACAAAATAAACTTTTGAGCTTTTCGAGATTGTGTTTTATAACCTGAAGCCTGATTAATATGTGCACAAAATTAGACATTTTACCTTCTGGACTGTGGATAAAAATTATCCACTTTGAAAATAAAATAAAAATTGCAAATACATTGATTTTTTGGTAATGTCGGAAAACGTCGGTTTTCCAGATTAATATTCTGTCTTTCACTAAATAATTTCCTTTGTTGATAACAGCATATTGAATTTTTTGCTGCCAACTTCACCGCTTTACGGTTATACATATGTATATCTTAACAGCTTGTTTGTAAAATTTCTTCACTTTTTTGGAATAGTATTTTTTTTTTGGTGAATTATCGAAGATGAAAGCTTTTCCGATATATTTTGGTGTTTTACTATCAAAAGTGTTAAAATGCTTTTCAAATAAGGTGAAAATTATGTGCTGTGTAAGGAGAAGATTTATGGACAGAACGCTAATGCCAAAGTGGTTTGCTAAATTTCGATCTTGAGAATCTTGAATAACAGAAAGATTTCATTTATCTAATTTCATAAAATGTGTTATTGCTTAATTTTATAAAAAATGCTGTGTAAAATGCACTCAACAACGAAATTACTTAGTGAAAGACCCAATATTTATTTATATAAATTAAATTAAAAGTGTTTAGCCTCTAGCTTTGTATTTAGATTTCAAAAGAAATGTGATTCTTTTATTATTTATTTTTTACTTTTGCTTATGTTTTTTATATTGCTTTTGTTGTTGCAATATAACTACTGTTGGTTATTGGATATTCAAGGTTGTTAACCCCCTTATTTAGATTATTAAGGATTACATGTAGTAGCTTTATGTATAAATATGTATGTATGTACAGAAATGTGTTGTATTTTTATTAGCTATTGTTTTTGTATCGCAGCTGCTTTTTATTTATCTTTTTTATCTTAACATTTTGATGGGTGCATATACATATATTATTTTATTTAAAATTATTATTTTAATTTCGCCTTTATTTTGTTTTATGTGTCTCGTCTAAACGTTTCGTCGTCTACGTTTTATTCTGCTTATATTATTTGTTTTTGTATTTTATTTTATGTACAAATGTGTGGGCATACACATACACATAATGCAAACATAAAAAAAACACAACGGCACGCACCAAACACAAAACATATTTAAAAAATCGTGGAACAATATTTTTTAATGGAATTTGAATCGTCTTTTGGATGTTTATTGTGCTAAACATACTGTATTTCAATACATCGGAATGTTGACTCTGTTGTGCACATAACACGTATTTATATGTATGAAAACGCGTATAAATGTCATTGAACTGTGCATAAATGTGGTGTGTTTTAAATATTTTCTTATGTATGAACTTGGCATGCTTTATGTTTAATATACATACATATATATATAACAAATGTACATGTGCATTAACATTACATACACACTGCAATAATTATCGTCCGTTTGTGCTATAAATACTCTTATGTACATTTTCACAAAATGTATTTACTAAAATTAGTACTGATGACACGCACGTACTCACTGAATATTCACCACAAGCATATGTATGTAAATTTTGAAAATAAAAAACCAAAACAAAACCAAAAAACAACGACTTCGATATTTGGGATGACACTTAAAATGTGTTGGACAGCTAGACAGCCGGTGGCCTAAATCTGCACCCTCCCTGATAAAAATACACACATACGCATGCATTTTTGCTGACGCTGAAGAAAGTAAACTGTAATAACAATTGGCTATTTTGCAAAAATTGTGGGGAAATTAACAAAAAATTTAAAACGCTGAAAATTTAAATGTGCTCAGATACGTAAAAAAAATCCAAAACTCCATTTAGTTAAATACACATACGTATGTACATATTTTTGTTTTGGCTAATTAAATCAATTTCGCCTCTGCTGCGTGCTGGATGTCGCTGCTGCTGTCATCGCTAACAACAACTATGTGCAATTTCTCTGCTAACAACAAAAACCAACAACAACATCTACCATCTCAACAAATACAATATAATCGTCTTTAACATCGACAAATCGACAAATCATAATAATTATCCATAAATTTAATGCAAAACTACTGGGCGCTCAACTATGTGCCTGTGTATGCATGTATTTTTGTGCTAAAATAATAATTATATGGAAACTGGCGTCCAATACGCGTTGTCCATTTGGCGTCCTACATTTGTCTGCCTTTCAACGACTCACATAAATCGCGCCAACATACATGTGTTTGTATGCTAATGATAACACGACGGCGCCTTCGCCTGTCAACGGCACATGTTGCTGCCTTCACCAAACGCCTTTGATCTTTGCTCGTTATGCCAAAACGTGTGCCCACCAATGTTGACCATGTTGGTGTCATCGTATTGTTGTTGGCGATATTTATGGACGCGCTTGAACAACTCCTTTTTGCACCATATTTCCAATTTATTTGTGTGTGGCATTTTATGCGGCGCAGTGAGCTGACGTTATACGATAATAGTGTCTCGATAAGTTCCATCTCGTCGAAAACTCATTGAACTAAACATAAGGAAAACTGCCGCCGATGAAATGTTGCAGCGCACAATTTTTGAATGGCTCAAATGAATTTGCAATAAATCCCAAATATACATATATAAATATTTAAAAAGTTTAAGATTTATTTTTTTTATAAGTAAAACTGAGAAGAAGTAGCAGAAGCGTGCGCAAGTTACTTATTTATGGCATTAAGTAATGTTATGTAAGAACCAATAGCTTATGTACGTATGTATGTAATTGTAAATAATAAAATTTTATTTGAAAATATTTATTTTATATTATTTGCTATAATTCATATCACAAACGCTTGCACTTATTTATTTATTGAAACTTATTGGTTAAAATTGAATATTTTTAGAATATGTAAATTGTTGCAAAAAATTTCAACTATGTTTACGCTCTTGCCAGCGGACATAAGTACATACATATTTATAAGTTTATGAATTATACCGATTTTCCGACTTTAAAAATATTCGCCATCATTGTTGTTGTTGCAAAGCTTTTTTTTTTTGTTCTTCAGCTGTATGTTTACTACTT